AGGAAATTTCTATAAGTGTTATATATTCTGAGTCTACTTTTGAGACCTGGACAAATTTAAGGGAACGCTATCAACGGAGGAATGATCCTCATATATTCCAGCTGAGGAGAGAATTAATGAACCTCACGCAAGGGGAATTATCTGTGAGTTCTTATTTTACTAAGTTGAAGACAATTTGGGAAGAACTTAGCAACTATAGACCTATATGTTCCTGTGGAAAATGTGTATGTGAAGGCAAAAAGAAGTTGCTGAAAATTATCAAATGGAGTATGTAATGTCCTTCTTAATGGGCCTGCATGAATCATTTGTTCAAGTTCAAGGTCAACTGCTGTTAATGGATCATATTTCTCCTATAAATAAAGTTTTTGCACTTGTTTCTTAAGAGGAAAACCAAAGAAGGGTCAATATGATACCTAATTATTCTGGAACAAATAATTCCATGGCTTGGCCGGTACAGAGTAAAACTAGAAAGGCTGGCACATGGCAACATTATAGCAGAATTCAGAAGAAGGAAATGTCTGTTTGTACTTAATGTGGAATCACAGGTCATGTAGTTGATAAATGTTACAAACTGCAAGGTTATCCCCCAAGCAACAAGCTTAGACAAAGGCCTGAAATAAGTAATCAAACTGGACCAAGTAATCAAGCCACGCGTGTTATGGTCAATCAAGTTTCTGAGCATCAAGTGTCTAAACTTAATGTGAATCAAGCACAAGGAAGTGTTGGGGGCTTTATGCATACGCCCAATTCAGATCAATACCAACTCCTGATGGTTTTGCTGAACAGTCATCTCAAGGCTGCAAAGATGGACACAGAAATGGACGATAAATCTAGTAATGTGGTAGGTACATGCTTCCTAATTTCCAGTACTCTATCACTTAATTCATTTAAACACTGGGTAGTGGACTTAGGTGCTACAAGCCACATATGTTCAAATAAATCATCTTTTCACGTACTGAAGCATGTTGAAAATGCATATGTCAAACTACCCAACCATGAAAAGATTCCTATGCAATCTATTCGGCGTGCGAGAATTTCTCCATAATTGATAGTAGATCATGTGTTATTTGTCCCTCAAATCAAGTTCAATATGCTACCAATCAGTACTTTAACGAGGAAACCACCTCTATCCATCAAGTTTCTCACTGATTAATGTGTTATTAAGCACTTGCACATGTTGAGGATGATTGGCAATGTAGAACTACTGCAAGTCTCTATATCATTTATGTCAGTTCTAATTCAGTTTATCTGTCCAAACTAGTTAATTCTCTTTCCCGTTCAATAGTAAATAATGTAACTGATCGAATTTGGCACCATAGACTTGGTCATTTGTCCTTTCAAAAGTTGAACCTATTGAAAGAACAATTACAATTTACTTGTAATAAGCCGAATGATGGTGATGTAACTCCTTGTAGTATTTGTCCTTTGGCCAAACAAAGGAGACTATCATTTGTTTCAAATAACCATATGTCAGTTGATGCTTTTGATTTAATTCATTATGATACTTTGGGGTCATATCACATCCTAACACATGCTGGCCATTGATATTTTCTTACATTAGTTGATGATTTCATATGCTTTACCTGGATATATCTCAAGAAGCTTAAATTTGATGTGAGCTTTATTATCCCCAAGTTGTTTCTCTGATAGAAACTCAATTCCACAAAACTATCAAGAAGTTCAGGTGAGATAATGCCCAAAAACCACATTTTACTGATTACTTCAATGCCAAAAGAGTCATTCATCAATTTTCATGTGTAGAAAGACTTTAACAAAATTTTGTAGTTGAAAGAAAATATCAGCATCTTCTCAACGTGGCAAAAGCCTTATTTTTCCAGTCAATGGCGCCAATCCAATTTTGGTGAGAGTGTGTATTAACAGCCACCTTCTTGATTAATAGAACCCCTTCACCAATTTTGAAAAACATGACTCCTTTTACTATACTGTGTAATAGTTCAGTGGATTACTCTTTTCTTAAAGTTTTTGGAAGACTATGTTTTGCATCCACATTGATGTCTCATAGAAATAAATTCTATCCACGAGCCAAAGCATGCGTGTTTGTTGACTATCCTCCAGCGTCAAAGTATATAAAAGGTATGACATTTCTTCTTAGTTCTTTGTTTCCAGAGATGTTATATTTCATGAAAATCATTTTCCATTTCACTCCACAACTCATACAACTGAACTCATTGATCTATTTCCAGACCTAATTCTACCTCACAGTGCTCCTAATATGCATGTCTCTCACTCACCTAAAACTCAACCTCTGACATGCATTCCAACAGCAATGAACTATCTGTTATTCATTCAAGAAAGCAGAGTTCTGATCATATTTCTTCATTTATTCCCAAAAACTCTAATAGAGCCATCAAATCACCTCCCTATCTTCGTGAATTTCACTGCAATCTCATGTCAAACACACATCCCCCAGACAACAATTTAGCATACCCTTTAAACAGGTACATATCATATACAAAATTCTTTCCCTCACACAGAACTTTTCTTCTTAATGTATCATCTAACCTTGAGCCACAATTCTACCATCAAGCTATATAGTTTGATCATTGGAAAGAAGTTATGGCATCTGAATTGGTAGCCATGTAACAAAACTATACCTAGGGCTGTCCGTAGGTCGATTCGGTTTCGGTTCTGAAGAGACCCGAACCGACTCAAAACTTCCGGGTATTTAATAAATGGGCCCGTAGGGTCCAACTATAATTATGGAACCGTTCGGTTCGATTCGAATCGGTTCGATTCCGTTCGGTTCCGTACCATACTTAAATTTTTTAATATTTTCAGTAACGCTACATAAATACAACTAATGACATTTCATTCGTAACTTTTACAAATTAACATAGTCTAATTCAAAAATATATACATAACTAGCTGTCCAATAAAATTAATTTAATACATACAAATACCAAAAAATAGAAATTAATATTACAGCAAAACTACATAAAGTATATTCATTTG